AATACCTTCATTCTTTGAAGGGACCTGTGCAGGTTGGTATCAATGTACATATACAAAACTTCTTGATTCTTTGCTTTTTGCTTTTTGTCCATATAACATGTAATATCACTGACTTTTCAAGTCTACTATATGCTATATGGGTTTTATAAGTGGCACAATGTTTCAGTCTCAGATTCATCTTATTCTGCATTGTATTATGTGGGGAATCAAAGAAGAAAAGAGACATACAGGAAATGTATTCGAAGTTCATATCATTATTATCAATACTACTACATACCATCAATGAGGCCTCGTTCGGTGGTTAAAATATAAATTGAAATTCAATGAGGTATTGGGTTTGAATCCCTCACCCCTTCAAATTTCTTGAATATCCAGAAAATACAATGTTACATGCTACTTAAATAATTCACCGACTATTGCAGCAGCTGCAGCTGAGAGGCAGCTCTCTTTGCTTGTTATTTGAAGCTATCTTGAGAGGACGAGGAAGAAAAAAAGAGAGACAAATCTGTGTTGATGGATGTTGATGCCGCTGAGCCTTGGCCAATATGTTTTTTGCCAAGGTAACTTCAACGTGGAACTTTGTTCTTTTAGTTCTACGCCCTGCATTGGCTTAGCAATTGAGAATAAGTTATGCAACAAGAGCTTTCATCAACCGGAACAGATTCTTGGGTTTGCCAAAGCAAAGAAAACGTACAAATTTTGGCTTTGCTGTACACAAAAGGAGAGAGGCTAGAAATGAACCAGAGCAAGAACAAGAGGAAGTAGAGATGGGTATCAAACATTGTCGCCATTGGTACCTTCTCAAGCCCAAGTTCTAGATTCTTATATAGTCAACTTTTGTATCACTTTCTTGAAAATTAAGCTTATATTTGCAATTACTTGTGGAGGAGAAGAGGGGTTGGCTCAAAGAATTAATGCTGTCTGTCCTAGCATTTTCGGTTCATTCTTAACAAACACGATTTCATAGCTGTTTATCTTTGTTTCTGCATGCATGATTGTGTTTCGTCAAAGTCGGTAACAAGAATTTTGTTTCTTCTTTGCATATCTTATCATACTTGGCATTTTGTAGTTCGTGATCTTGTGCTTGGTGCATTGAAAGAATACATTTTCTCAGGTGATGGCGTTACCTCTTAACACTCTGAATCTGATCGGTTGCTGACTAGTGGATCAAACCATGGATTATTTACATGTTACATTAATTGAACTCCCATGAATAATTCAAAGTTGCCACTTGCAAGTTGCAACATTTGTTTTGAACAAGTAAAGTTGGGAACTTCTGCGTCACAACGCCACTTGTTGGCTAAAGTGTAAGGCTACTCAACTTTGAACAATGATGCAAGCCAAGACAAACTACAGTACGTAACCTTAAAAGTACTTAATTACCAAATTTACAAGACATATAATTTGTTGCGAGTAAAAATCAGCGAGGGTGAACCAGGGCCCATTAGTGGGCAGGGCTTGTGCCCAATCCTATGCTTTTGTGGTTCCACCTTTCTCTGTCTCTAAAAAATCTTGACCTTTTTGGGTATGGGAAAAGGCTGAGGATAGCAACATTAGGGTTTGATAGAGTAGTTGAAGAGATCATTAGGGAAT